ACGTCTTTGCTCCTAGTGCGTCCGATCGCTCCGTTCGTAGCGATGCCCTTTGTTACTGTTCGTAGCTTCCGCACTCCGGTCAGGGCCTCCGAACGGTGCATGTGGCGAACGTGGGCGACTCGCGGGCCGTGCTGGTGGCGCCCACCGGCGACGCGCGACGGGCGCCTCGGTGGCGTGTGGAACGGCGGCAGAGAACGGGCGGGTGTGGAACGGTGGTTGGAAACGGAGGCATTGGAGTAGACTTGATGAAAAGGACAGAGAACATCCACCTACGACCTTGTTGGATGATTTTGTCTCAATTTTGTGTTTTGTAAAAGGACGTCCTCCAAGTTGATGGGCATGTCCGCGGAATCAGAGGCCGGACAAGTTTGATGCCAAAGGGCTTTGATTGAGGTGAGAAGTATACACACTTTCAAGTGCCAGGTGTGTACGGAAGCAAACTCTGAAATACCGCCAATCAAGACCATGCCCACTGGTGGGTGGTGTTGAGAAAACCGGATCCGATCTGAACATCAGGCCAGTCGAATGGAGATGAAGAGAATGACATCAGGGACCGGTGTGTGTTTACGGCTGTGTTGATGGGTTTCTGTTGTGCGATCGCGCTCCTCGATCCGGTCCCACATCCTGAATCGTTCGGCGGTTCCTACTCGATGTGGGACAGGAGCGAAGACACGGGGGATTGTGTTCTTGCACCTTTGGGAATCAGGACTCAGCCACATGCGGTCCCCACGGTGCGAGCGAAGGTGAGCGGAGGCGTCACGCAGCGAAGAACCCGCCGGTCGAGCCGTCGACCTGTCGGTCCGTGTGGACCAAGTATGACCAAGTGACACCAGTGACGAAGGGCAGAAGTACGACATCATGCCGCAGTACATGGAAGTACATGGAAGTAGGCCGGAGGCCCACGACACGCCACTGGTTGTGTTGTGTGTGAAATGGTCAAATGTTCAACGCATCCCCGTGAATGATGTAACTTTGCAGTGGGGAAAAGTGTGTGCATGATAAACTGGACAGCCTGCTGTGCTCGTAGGAGCCTGGCAGATATTGTGCTTCCAGCAGTTTCGGTGTGATCTGGCAAAGGGTTCCAAGCAAAAAACAGATACATACCAGGCCCCCCGTTTCGGGGTGGTTGATGGATACCCCGAATCACCTCTAAGGAGCTATCAGCAAATGCCAGGATTTTCTCAAGAACTGAAACGAAGCCAGCGCATTGAAAAAAAGGCACTGTTTGGCCCCTTCATGCCCAACCAGTAAGTATAGACGGTCAGGGATGAAAAGGGAGCTTACCAGTTGCAGCATGTAGAGTCCCTAGGCCTTCATCCACCTCCACAAAAGGTATGGCTGGACCCTCCTCGCACTCTCCCCAACCACCTTCTTAGAATGTACGACTGCAGCCTTAGGAAGTTTACAAACCCACGCGTTTGTGCGGCCCACAGCGTTTGAGGATGAATCCGAGTCGAAAAATCGTTGGACCTGTCGGTCTCTCTCCCAGACCTTGTGCAGGTCGGGAATTGAGACACTTATTCGCTTGCCCAAGAGTTGTTTGGATCCAAATCTGTCGTCCAAAACCGGGTTGATCCTGAGGTCAGATTCCCTCCCATGTTCTTCATTCCCAAAGAGATCTTCACCCGAGACCTCCAGAGCTCCAGAGCCGAGAGCGAGCTGAGAGAGCGGACCTCCTTTGTTTTCCCCCGAGGTCTCTACGGACCACCGTGCCAACGACCCGGAGGAGGCGAGGTGGAACGTTGTTTATGTACAACAAAGGTTTGATGAAGTCGGAATCTTCATCCAACCTTCCATGCAAGGCGTCTTGGCAAGTTCAGTCGAGCAAGCGATTTCTAAGGCATCCTTGGATTCATCTCAGTCACCATTGTGAGCCAATATGTTGTACATTGTATTTACAATGCTATCATTAGGTCATAGTAGGTCTTTTTGAAGCAACAATATATGCCGAAACATGGCTGGCACTGGCGACCGCCAAGGCATATATATAGCTATACCGCTATACGTGTTCTCTCCAAGTCACACCGACACGTGGAGGTTCCACGTCCATACCGAACAAACATTGGGATTGTTCCACGACAAGAAATATGGGACTGGCATAGATTGGATCGCTGGATCTTGTGACTCGCGCGATTGGGTGAACTCGCCGCTTTGTCGGTATGGTGGTTGGGTGGGTGCATGTGGGTGCTAAAGGGGGGTGGTCGTGTCCCTACCTTGTGAGGACGCGGGACAGGAGTGGGACAGGAGCCCTACAGGAATTGTTATGGAATTGTTTCATGCTTTGGAAGAGCTGTTGGCAAGTGAGATCAAGTGTGACCCGTGTTTTTTTTCGCCCTCCAGCTTTGAACCGCTCAGGACTATTACTGTGGGCCGGTGGTGTGGAGGGCCTTCTTTCGGAATGGCTGTCCCAAAAGACTCATGTTATTTGTTTCAAGCCCAGGGCCCAGACACTCCATATATGCCATATATGCCTACATTGGGGTGTTTTTGGGGGTCAATGCCATGCAGGCATTTATGGCAGTCCCATGGAGTGTCTGGGAAGGGATGCTTCAGATCACCCAAATTTAATCGAATGCTTTAAAAGTCGTTGAAAATACTGTTTTATCCAACTGAGAAGCCGCTTGTTCCCACTGGTAGGTGTGACTGAACCGCGCACGATCCATCCAGTAATTATTTCAATCCAGCATTCTATATATATATATATAGATAGTGAGAATTATATATATAAGTCTATTTCGTTGGATATGGGTGCCAAACCATTGTATTTGGGTCCTACAATGGATCAAATTTGGGTTGAGATGCACGGTTCAATGTGTCAACCAACTCTGGAGCACTGCAGCCACTGCAGCACTGGTTCGTGTTTTTTTCCTGTGAGCTCGGTGCGTTCTCGTCGGGAATCTCAGAGCTTAGCCTTTAGCCAAGGCTTCAAATCAGCCGAATCACTTGCCCTTCAGCCAGGGTTGTTTCCTTCTTCAGGTAATACAGAGGCTTTCCTGAGTTGGAGCTCTGAAGCTTAAGAAATTCTTACTGGTGGGAGGTGTTATCAAACATTCATTCTAACATTCTATTTTCTCCAGGTCACGGGGGCTGAACTCCTTGGTGCAAGGGTTGTAGGTGGTTGTGAGTCAGGCTCCAGCATCAAAAACACGTGGCATGTTTGTGGTCGAGAATCCTTGGCTTCCTTCACGTAGTAGATCCGCCACACACGGTTCAAGAGGGGGGATGCTCCCAAGGCCTCAACCCCAAATCAAGAGCATGAACTAGTAGAGGAGACAGAGAAAGGTGTTCAGTCAGAGATTGGAAAAGCACCAACATGAATGCAAACCTTTTTAGCTTAGTCACTGCCGCGGGAAAAGCATTGGCAACGGAGGTGTACTTAAGGCCGTTGAATGAAGTCGGATCATTCCATGCGTAAAACACCGGTGTTGCCTTTGGCTTGAGGATGTAGAAATCAGTGCCTCAAGCAAGCAAGGGAAAACCGTATGATGACCACAACCCAGGAAGTTCTGGAAGCAAGAAATTGTTTCCAAATTCATTCGAAACTTTAGGTATTCCAACCCAACCCAGACTTGCCAGGAAACCAGCAGGGTTGCCAGCAGCGGGCCTCTGAAGTTCATGACCGTTGACGGACAGGTCCGTCAGTCCCTCCTCCTCAAACTCTTGGATCAGTGATCTCCAGCACGACAGTTCTGTGTCCACGGTGGACTTCTGTTCCGTGACTTCCAAAACGATATTCTCGCGATCATTCTTCCATTGGCATGACATTACCTTGTCCAGGTCTCCTGAAAAGGTGCAAGTTGGTCAAGATGAAAGCACCTTGAAAAGGTAAGCTAGAAAAGTTTTGAGCAGGCCAGCGTGTGTCAGGAAATTGCAGGCACAGGAGGCCTTTTCTCAACCCATACCCTTGCTTCACATGGTTCTTGATCTACTAAGATTTGAAGCATCATCCAGGCTGCAGCAGTGCAGTTCTATGGAATCAGCTTTCGCCCCACTTTGGCACTAAACATTGTCTACCACACAGCTTTTTCCGGGTGAGGTTCTAATCAAGTTCGGTGAAAGGTTTGGGTTTCATCTTTTGGAACATTTAAATTTAAGTTGAAAGTAGTGTCAACAACCAGATCAGTAGATATCAGTAGGTAGAACGGTAGAACATCTAGGAATCATGCCCCTCCCTGAATCAGCCGTTCCCAAAGACTCTTAGTGCCAGAGAGACAAAACTTATGCGTCCTACCTAGTCCTCACTTTCAGCAGGGCTGTGGTCAGACTCCTGCTCCGGTGAGGGCTCCGGAGACTCTTCTCCAGTCTTCTCAGTTTCCTGCACAGGTTCCTGCGTTGACCCATTTGGGATCTCAGAAACTTCAGGATGTGAGACCTGAACCTTCAGCCTGCGTCTGCTCAATTCACTGCTGCTCATGGAAGCGATCGATGCCACCCGAGCCGGGTGATTACGCCACCTCAGCACAAACTATCGGTTGACCGTTCTGATTTTTCATGTGGTAGAATGAGCAAAATTCAAGAAAGCAGTGTAAACTCATGGTAAAGGCATGATTTGAGTTCAGCACTCAGAACGTGCCAGTTTGAGTACCTCCTTGGGTGACATGTTTGGGTTCTCCTCCTTGAGCTCAGCAGTGCGCTTTGCCACATGCTTGTGATAAGTATCACGAAGTCCAACACGTCCAGGAGTACCAGACTGGCGCCAGGAAACATACTCTCATAGACTCATACATTCGATAAGATCAAATATTTTAGTACGACAGGTGGAAGTGAAGGTCCTGGATTACCCATTGACTTGAACTCACTTCACAACTTGAGGCTCACTCATGGCGCCTTCCGCTTCACCTTGTCCTTTGGCTTTGCCTCCTGAGGCGTGGGAAGCGCAGTGGTTGTTGACAATAGGGAGCATGCACACATAAATGCACACCGCTGGAGGGCCTGGTGATGGTTTTTACATCTAGAAGGATAGCATAGCTTTCAAAAGTCAGAACCGGTCCTGTCCAAGAATCAAGGTTGACGACTCTGACTCATCTTCTTCACCCTCTTTTTGGTGCGCTTCGCTCTTTTGCTTCTTGCTTTCTTCCTCCTCTCTTTTTGCCTTCTTGGTTTTTGACGACCTTGAATTGGTCTCCTTGTTCGTGCCACTGTCCATCTCTTGATGACGTCCGAGGGCCATCTGTACCTTTGACCAGCGCTCCTGTGGAGCCTCCTTTGGTTCTGGCTGAATCTTTTTGCCATGTGACTTCAACGCTGACTTCCGCTTTGAAGGACCCTGTTCAGCCATGTTCTTCTCCTCCTCCTTCATCTCAGCCTCCTTTCCATTCTTCTCCTTGCAATCCTCTTCAGCACTCCTTTGTTTTTTCTTTTTGGGCTGGTCAGCTGGAGTTGCGGCCTCAGACTGAGATCTCTTGGCATTCTTCTCTTCCATCTTCTTCTCCCCACCTTCCTTGTTTTTCTTCTGCTTCTTCTCTGTTGTTTCGTCCGACATGGCAGCATGTCCATCAGCAATCACAGAGTCTTCCTCAATCCCCCAGGTAACCGTACGACGAGGTCTTTTCCTCTTTGATTCCTGGTTTGGATTGGTCTCAGCGGTCCCAGCTGTCTCTTCATCATCTTTCTGCTCTTCAACCTTCTTGGTTCTTGCCTTTTTCTCAGCCTTGTCTTCTTCCTGATCGTTCTGCTTGTCTTCATTGCCAACCTTCTTGGTTCTTACCTTTTTCTCGGCCTTGTCGTCTTTTGTATTCTTTGCATCAGATTCCTTTCCCAGCAACGCCTTTCCTACCCGAGTCCGTGGAGCTGGGTTGCCCTCAGAATGCTGCTGCTTCTCAGATGTATTCTGATCTTCACTTGGCTTGTCCTCCGGACGTTTCAAAGACCCTTCGGCAGGCTTGCCATTCGTTTGGTGCGGCTTTGCTGCCCCTCTGCCTTTTGCTTGCTTTATCTCCTGCTCTGCCTCCATCTCAACATCTGATTCCGGTGGAAGGTCCTCTTGGTCAGTAAGTTCTTCTTCAGAGTCTAATGGATTCTCCTCATCTTCACTTTGACCTTTTTTCTTGCCAGTGTCCTTCTTTGGTGCCTTCTTGGGCTCTGCCCTTGTGGCCTTGATCACCTTGCTTGAATCCTTTTCCTTGTTGCCTTTGTGCTCACCAGCGTTCTTCATCTGCTTCTCACTCTTCTTGTCATGCTTGCGTCCTGCCTTAGCTTCTGCTACCTTCTCCTGAAGCTTCGCCACCTCCTCAGCTTGAAGACTGGGGTTGTTCAAATCATTGGATTCAGCTGCCGTCATCGGAAGGTCCTTGACCTCTTCTTTCACATCACCAGGTGAAGTCTTTGGAGGGTCCTTGACCTCTTGGTTATCAGCGCTAGGTGAAGTCGTCAGAGGGTTCTTGCCTCCGGCTCGGACGATTTCAATGTCCTTCTTGCTGAGTGGCACCTGAGCGATAGCCATATCCAAAGCCTTTGGTTCCACGGGGCCGGCTTCCAGTGCTGCCTCACAGCTTGTCAAGATAAAGACATGGGAAGCCACCACTCAACAATCTCTAAACATTATAATGCTTGTGCATCATCATGTGCAGTACTTTCGGGAACACTGACACGTTGGTCATCGGACAGCCTGGAGTGCAGGTACAGGTGTGCCAGAAGCTCCACTTGATGGAGATGAGAAGGCCTGGAACCAGGGGCGGCAAGAGTTGGGGAGGCTGGACGCAAAAGACAAATCTCTTGTGTTCTCACCTG